CTAACAAAGATTTCATATAGTGCTACAAGCTTGTGTGGAATGCCCTGAAAGGTGAGGATTCTTATTGATGGACATTTAATTTACAAGATTTACTTAAGGTTCCTGATTTATAAGATTAGAATTCATTAATATTTAGTCATCAATATGATTTGCCGTTCAAAGGTTTTCGTTTAAAGAAATCATTTACAAAGAACATGTTGTTACTGAAAAATATTAATTTAAATGGGTTCTTCAGTTTTATCAGGAAAGATGAACTCTTTGAACTTATACATATAATTAAAATTTATAATAAATTATTTTGAAAACAATTGTTTTGTTTTATTATTTATTCTATTTTATATAGTGAAGAAGCAATGCATTTGTATTAAAAACTTTTTCCAATCTCTGAAACTCACCAAGATCTTGTAAATTTTGTGCCAAATCCCAGTGATATATTACAACGACAGGCTCGATTCCTCTCTTCAATAAAGCATCTGTAAAGTTGGAGTAAAATTTTACTCCGTCTTCACTCGTCTTATTTGTAAAACCATGAGGAAAAATTCTTGGCCAAGAAAGAGAAAATCTATAAAAAAATATATACACAAATGAGTTGTCATAATAAAAATTTAGACTAATATTCCGTAATAAATTATTTACTAACCAACTATAATTATTATTATATATGAAAAGTTAATATTCAATCGAACGGAAAGGGATCGCGTATTGGTACATTTTTTCCAAGTTGCTTGGAACGTTCTCCCACTGACCACTCGTGTCATACATCTGGATGGCACTTTTAATAATGGAAACAATATACCATACAACATCATGTCTACAACATATATTTATTTTCATTAGACCTAGAGGGTAATGGCATTTTTTAAAATGCGCTAGCTAATTTTAAAGCGCGTTGTGCTAATAGAGCTCACGGTTCCTTTGGAAGCCAACATTTCGAAAGACTATGTGATCAAGGTCGGCAAGTATTACAAGCTCACTAAAAAACTCACTAAGAATAGGTTCGTGGTAAATTTGTATCCTATAGAAGTGCAGAGAGAGGTATGACAGCCAATTCTCTCTACATCCTACTAAAAGACTAGAGCCCGTTCTGAACTAATATCAGTTCATTAGAACGTGCGTTGAAGGCAGCCCTAGTAGGTTCGTTTCAATTTTGGCTAGGTTTTGAGAGGAGCTTGGACGGTGTGAGTGAGGGGGTCCCTTAAACCTACACCTGGGTCCCAAGTCCCAGGAACTGTTGAAGTTCCGCTCCTGCAACGCGATAGACCTAATTGCCACACAGTGAATCTATGAAACAATAACAAGTTTGGTTTCATATCAATAGACGCATTGTTTCCCCTCGTGGCTCTCAAAGGCTTTATGTAGTAGGTCTGTCAACCGCAGCATCGACTCATACTGAGACGCTTCCTGAACGATGTTTAACAGCGATTTAGGAAAACCATATGTTTGTTCTATGCATATAATTAAACAATGTATATTTCAATATTTTAGAGTATTACCACCAGTAAGGATACATAGATATAGCTTCACCTGTATCTGTATCTGTATATAAATTTGTTCAGTCTTTCTAAAGCGCCCTTCCTGTAGTAATTGTTGAGCGAGTGTCAGTAAATATCTGTCTCTCTTCTTCTGCCACATGTGTAGCGGCAACACGTACACCTTCCGACACTTTGCCCGCGGCGTTATACGCTCCTACACATTTCTCCGCCATGCCACAGGATATGAGAAGTCGTTCCGCTGTATCCCATTCCTGTAAATGTTTGCAAAAATAGATAAATATAATGAATGAATATTAATTGACATATGAAGCCTACTAGAATAAAATAAAAATCGACCATAACTTTGAATTCAAAAAATTGAATAAATTGATCGTGAAGTTAAACCCGCGTATAAAAGAAGAAATGAATAATTGAAAACATATTAGTTTACACCCTTAGTGGATGTTTACATTTATATTTTTGCAACTATACACAATAACTAATAAGGAATGAACAAAATCGAATTACGTTAATAACAATTATAAAAAAAATAATAACAACATATTTCTTTTGTTCATTAATATAAGAATGAAGTAAAAAAAACTTACTTGAGAAGATATAAAATGATCCCCCAACTGTTCACTTTGCTCCCGAATAGATTCTTTATCTTCTATAACCTAAAGATATCAATGGATTGATTTACAAAAAATATATATAAAAAAAACAAAACCTTTATTTATATATTATTGGAATCTCGGTATCGGCTCAAACGATGGCGATAAATCGATCTAGCTAGGAATAATTATCATCATTAATCATTTAGAAAATGTTATTTTACGTCAAAAAAGAATAACAAAAATTTGTCGTTTAAAATATGACTCTTCCTGACATCTAGTGGCGAATAGTGATACTACTTTTTGCTACTTGCTTTTACTAATTGCTTTAAAGACACAACAGCAGATGGCGTTGCTAAGCGCCAGGAAGTCAATGAATGTTTGTTTCGAGGTTAGACTAAGAAATTAATTGTTGATTTATATTGTTTTCTATCTTCTTAACGTGTTGAATTAAAAATGCCTAAACGAAATTAAAAGAACACACAAAATAAAAACTAATAATTCCTAAACAGCCAGCAAAGCTCGGTAAGCACATATTATTAATAATACCTGTACAATGTGTGTGTATGTGCTTTCAGAGCTGCAGTGAGAGCATCAACGGTTCGAGCAGCCTCTATGAGATGAGGTCCAGCGGCGCCCGCCTGTCGCGATGATACAAGCCACGCGCCCCACTCTCCTTCAGGACAGGCCTGAAGAACAACAAATAATGTAATAAAAATTAAAAACAACATTTATAATAAACGACACTGACTTCTCCTGCGTAGTTGTTGCCTCTAGAATAGTAATCAACAGCAGTTCTGATATCACCTTTACGCTCGGATATTTCACCAGCCATTTCCCACCATTCCTCCTACAAAGGAAACAAATTGTAAAGTTCATAATGTATGTCTAAGTATTAGTGAAACTTAACTTTTTAAAATGTATAGACGTATGCAGAAGTCACAGTATAAGAATAAATAGTTATGTTTGTGACAGTTATATTCATAAAATTAACTTTTATTCTTTTTTAGTTAAATGCATAACAGTCATGTTTATCTTGCATCAATCGAACTTACATGAAACATCAACAACAGTATGATCAATAATAATAATCAATGATACTAAATCAAAAAATCTAGTTGGTAATTTACACCAGTATTGATTCCCGCAACAAAAGAAGCAGGATCTTCTAACAAATACAACATGACTATACTTAGTGAGACCATCAAGCGATATTCTCTTAAATAGGTAGATACTTCAGTAGCATTTTTATTTATCTATCTGATAAAGAAGACATTTAGTGCAGTACATTATTTTTTTTGTGTATCTGATAATGCAACCTTCACCTGTACTAGTTGATCGTGTGGGGTGATGTAACAGAGCGTCACCCACACACGAACCGCGCCTCGCCGAGACGACCTGTACCAACAAAATAATACTTTATTAGGTCAAATAGATTATTAGTATTATTGTAACGAACACAATGTATATATTATTAAATATATATGATATAAGTTATCATTTTTGCACCTGTTGACGTGAGATAGTCCATGTATTGCTGCCTGAGTGATGTCACCGCTTGTCTATCGACTCTTCCAGCGAGGCCGATGGCATCTGCCCATCCATTGAACTGCTTGTACATATTAATGACCAATTCTGGCTGAGCGGCTCCACGTACGTAGTATTCTTCGGCGGTGGTTAAGTCCCCCACAAATATTGCTAGACGTGCACGAACCTCGGGACTCTTTAAACCTATGCATTATATTATAATCACGATTAATAAAATAAATAGATTTTACTTTCTAGTTGTTTGTTCTTCATGCACTGTATTTAAACTAAAATGTATTTAAACCAAAATGTTAACTTTGTGATTACATGCACTCTGTTAATATTTCAGCATGAAGTGGTTGCCTGTAACTGAGGTTGCACATAGCATCTTAATTGTATTAATTTAAAAATTTGTATTTGTGTATACTTTGTTGGCGATCCAATAAATAAATAAATGAATACTATTAATACAATAAGTGCGTCCAAAAAAAACTAGATACATGAGGTGTACCCAAATCGTGTAAATGCAAAAAATACCTTCATCAATACTCCCGTTCCCTTTGGCTGAAGCTATCTCAACAGTTTTCTTTAGATAAAATATTCTAGCCTCATCACCTACTGCTTTATAGCATTTCGTCGCCAACTGAAAAAAAGATATATCTCTTATGAGGTACTAAAACGTTTAAATGTTATAACATATATTTAATAATAATTGATTATTAAATATATGTTATCTCTAATTTGGGCAGTGAGGAATGTACCACCACAACTGAATGGCCTAACACTTAACCAAACATAACTGTTGTTATGTAATTAAATTATGTAGTTAAACATAACTGTTGTTATGTCAATGTAAAGGAAGTTATCATAAGTTTGAAGTCGAATAATATTTTTTTTTTTATTACTTTTAAATTGAAATGCACATTATTTATTTTCAAACCATAATTTTAAGAGATCTTTAAACTGCTTTAATTTTTACATAACTAGTTAAAGCGCTTTATGTAGGAAATAATAACATTGGGGTGTTCGACGTAATATTGACAAAGTTGTCATCATAGATAATACACTATATTAGAAATTGGTTGTCATGAGGTCATAATGTCATACTACTTTACATTCAATATTTTCATTCTCTATGTTCATACATACTTTTTAAGTAGTGGATAAATTCTGTGAGTGGACGGATGGATTGAGGACAAAACCCAGTAAATGTCATTGTCTGTGTCTTGGTAGGCGGAATACAAGATACACCTCATACGATCCGGGACTATCGTTAGGCGGTCAATGAATTTCTACGGTTACGGAAAATGCACCATTTAAATTTCTCGGTCGTAAGATTGATAATATAGGCCGTACTCCATCTTTAGAAGGGATAGTAGATAGCTTTTTGAACGATCTTAACAAGGTAGATAGCCAACTGATCAGTAACGTTAAAAAAGCGTGGATCTACGATAATTACTTAACTTCACGTTTGAACTGGCCTTTCCTCGTCTATGATTTTAATAAAACCCTTTTGTCAAAGTTGGATGCAGGCGTCATAAAGATGTTGAAGTTGTGGCTCGGGCTCGCTCTAACGGCTGATTCATCGGCGTTATTTAGGGGAAGCAATAGTTTTGGGATGAGTCTAAAAAGGCCATCGGAGCTCTATAAACACTTAAGAGTTTCCAAGAGATATATCCTGGGGAAATCCCATGATGACGTAGTGACATCGCTCCCAAAAGATGAAGATGCCCCCGAGCTAGAGTCACGACTTCAATTCCATAAGCAATTTATGATAGGAGCACAAAGTAACAGAGTGGGATTAGGATCAAATAGGAAAGTCCAAGATGCGGATATATTGAAGTCTTTTATTCGGCAAGACGAGAATGATAAATATAAGATCCATGCAATGAATTTAGAAATGCAGAACGAGTGGTTAGACATAGAAGATTTTTGCATCCCATTAGCATGAAAATGGCGCACTTTAATTTATGATTGGTCGCCAGCATTGCTAAAATTCTATCTCAATGCGTTCCAGATGACTCTCCCATATCAGAGTAATTTAGTAAGATGGGGTAAAAGTACCGAAAATACTTGCTATATCTGTGGAAAGGCAGTTGGAACTGCTAAGCATCTGCTGGTGGGATGTAAGGTACTCCTGGACAGCGGTCAATACTCGCGTCGTCACGATAGGGTTCTAGAAGTGAAACGGTTAGTCTTTCGGTAGCCAGAGCGCAAAAGGAAATAACCACAAACGAACGATCAGTAGGTTTTGTGAGAGAAGGCACTAGGGTTACAAAATCAAACGTCAAGCCTTACTCCATCCTTAAAGCGGCGTCGGATTGGACTATAATGATGGACACGTATGAAAAACAATATAAAATCCCCGAGGATATTTGTGCGTCGGCCTCCAGACCGGATATATTTTTGTTTTCGTGAATTTTAAAACGCGTAGTGATGATAGAGCTTACGGTCCCTTGGGAAACCAACATCCCCAAAGACCATACCATCAAGGTCAACAAATATTACGAGCCCACAAACGAACTCACTCGAAATAGGTTCGTAGTAGATTTGTACGCGGTAGAGGTGGGAGCGAGAGGTATAACAGCGAAATCTCTCTACAACCTACTAAAGGACCTGGGCTTGTCCAGAACTCACATTAATGCATTCTTGGAAGGTATATCGAAGGCAGCCCTAGTAGGTTCTTATCAAATTTGGTTAGGTAGGGAGAGGAGCTTGGACAGTGGAGGTGAGCGTATAACGCGCGTTAGTTAAGGGGCCCCTTAGGCCTCGGCCTCGAATTTTGCGGGCAGCGGAGCGGCAGCGGCGGCGGCACGGAAACGCATACTATTCTCCAAACTAGCGGGCAGCGGGCACCGCTGTATTCGAGGGTCGGTCCATTTGATTATACGCGTAAGATCCTGCCGCTCCCGCTGCCGCTCCGCTGCCCGCAAAATTCGAGGCCGAGGCCTTAAACCTACACTTGGGTCGCAAGTCCCAGGCACTGTTGAAGCTCTTCTCCCTGCAACGCGATGGACCCGGCACCCGCACGGTGAATCCATAGAATGATGAGTAGTTTCGTCTCTGTTTTTTGCCCGCGACTTCGTCCGCGTTAATTTCGTCATTAGTAATATATGTATAGCTGACCGGGCGAACTCTATCCCGTCCTAAATAACCAGTTATTGGTATTTATTAAATTTTTCCTGTTTCAATCGAACAGAATGGTTGAAATAGAAAAGGGCTGATTTTAGAGTTATCCCGGAAATGAATCATTTTTTTTCAGCTTTTAGAACTTATCTGAGCCTCCACGAACATTTCAAGAATAAGATAAGATAAATCCGTTCAGCCGTTCTCGAGTTTTAGTGAGACTAACGAACAGCAATTCATTTTTATATATACAGGGTGACTGGTGAATTACTATCGATACTTGAGGACGTGATATTTGACGATCATATATGACAAAATAAAAATTAATATAACATAAATATTAATAAACTTCTAAGTAAAGTGAACCAAAAGTTATGTAATTAATTACGCATCGTGTGAACACCCTACAGATTAGGTATACACACACACACACTCGCGCGCGGCGGTGTGGTGTTGTGTCAGCACGCCGCCGCACGCGTCCACACTTGGAACATTTGGAACATGTCCACTATTTATTTATACGGAAATTTGGTCAAAAATTAAGTACCTATTTTTTTTTACATAATTCGAATGAGAATCGTGTACCGAGTATTCTCCTTAAATATTGATAGTAATTCACCAGTCACCCTGTATAAATGTAAATATTTTTTTTAATAATTGATTTACATATGTACTCTCTTTCCTTTATTTATGTAATCGTTATGACGTGTCGGAAGCGTTCAGTTAATGTAATAAAAATAAAAGTAATGAATAAATAAACTCAAAAAATATTCACCCATACGTTAAATAATAACAGAATAATATTAAATATTCAACAGTACATACCGTCACACTACTATCGTACATCAGCTACATACACTTCTCTTCATAGAAGGTTTCCTCTCATCCGCAGACGACGTCCTAACAGACGCTCCACCAACAGCTTCTACCCTCATCTTGAATTATATATTCTCACGAGTCCTGGAACGTTACAAATAATACTATTTCATATAAAGACTATCCACTTCCTAATAAATTATTATTGTTCATATTAAAGATGGCACATATTTTAGGATGTGGTCAAAGATTAGCAACAAAAAAGTTAAAATAAAAATAGTAATGAATTAATTAAACCAAACTATCAAAATAATAAGCCTTCGCAAAATATAGCGTTTAGAAAATAATAATTTTCTTAAGACTGCGGAATCCTCTACAAAGATTTGTTTGGATATCATTAACTTTACTTATCTTTATATTTTGAAACAAACATATATTTCATGATGGATGGACAGACCATGTAGTGAAAACATACGACGGTAGTGAAACTATGAGTACTTTGATTGAGGAAGATGTTTCGGTAGGAGAGCTCTAAATTGTTTTAAATAAATTAAAATTAATTATCTTTCTATATATGTATAAAGACATACAGAGACAGTTACATCAAGGATTGTTTGAAAATAAAAATATAATATTTTATATTAATCTTAAAATATCCACAAATAAATTACACTTCATATCACTAAGAAGGTTTATTATTCAAATAAAACAATTCTTTATATATCAGTCTAGTTAGTATCATCATTAATAACATACTATATTATGTACAGAATTATTATTCTGTTTGAAATATTGGATTCCTACAAAAATTATAAATGTTTATACTTAAACTAAACACATAAATTGATTTTACTTAAAAAGTATAACACTATTAAAACACGTTAATAATAGAGAGTTTTACCTACCAATAAAACTTACCTATTATTTTTCCTTAAGACATCCGGAATCCATCTTGAGTCAAGCACCTGTCTTTTTAGCCTTTTTTGTCCAGTTTTCGCTCCCTTCCGGTGCAACTTCAGCCCTCTAATGTCAATTTGGTGGGAGAAAACTTGCACATTTTAACAAATTGATATTTCTTACCTCATTATACATACTCGAGATGAACCAGGTAGAAATTACCTGGATTCCGGATGTCGTAAGGAAAAATAATAGGTAAGTTTTTTATTGGTAGGTAAAACTCTCTATTATTGTTCCATGTTGACATCCGGAATCCATCTTGAGTGACGTGTTTGTTATCACCTGTTCATAAATATTATGACGATGCTATAATGTGTCCAATAAAAATTAAATTATTGGAATAAAATAATTTATTTAAATAACAATTTGATTTAAGGAATATATCAAGATAGCTTGACAGCTAAACTTTTGTGCTTTCCTGTGACCGATTTAATACAACTCTTTTAAAACCTCTTATAGGTAAAGGATCTTGCCCCCGTTTCTAGTTTCTAAATTTTATCTATTTGAAAGCATTCTATCTAGTTAAGGGAAGCTACTGAAGGTCTTACAGATCTGGGAGAAGCGTCAATACCAGCTTCTTTGTGTAAAGACTTAATCCAAACTCGACCATATTTGACGCTACTCTAGGTCCGCCCCTCGAGCTGTCAAAGATAATTTATTTAAAATTATTGACTTACTCTGCGCTTCCTTTGGATAAATCAACCAATCGGTAAACCCAGTATATTATATAATCAAGCGATGTAGTGTTTGTATCTATACAATAGATTTAACACACTAGTCTCATGTACCCCAATAGAGGGCGGCATTCGCCTGGCAGCCTCACGACCAGCGCGGAGCAGAACGGTGACGAGCGCCTGCGCTTTAGGCGGGGATAGTAGTGAGCCAATGACTAGATATTCTTACATAGAGGAAGGGGGTCCTACAACGGGCTTGTAATGGGTTTTGTAAAATTTCCCTTCCTGACTGCCTGTAATTAATCAGTCTTAGATTCGGATCGTGGCCAATATGTAACGGGATTACCCTTATCAATAAGTTTTTAATCTTCAATTGTTAATAAAGTGAGATAATGGACTTTACGTCCTGACGATAAAAGCTGCAGGATTGCAACTACAATGAGGACCTCCCGGCTTCCCCCGGGTGGGGGGGGGGAAAGGTCAAGGTTGACTCTCCGAGGCGTAAGCCCCCTGAGCTAGCTACGACCCTACCTGTAAATGTAGGCAGGCCATTCTGGAAGGCATTTGCAGCCCTGGTTTTGTGACAGAGTCGCCACTAGCGAGGCGGTGCCCAGGGACAGCAGGTCCCACATGGCTGGCCTCCAACCAGAGGCAGAGGATTTCTATTAGCCACCGCAAACACTATAAATTGTTTACATTTACCAGATGTGTGCTGAAATATTATAAACAATTTAAGAGTCCCAGATATGTGATGTGGAACTCTTCTTTTTTTGGGTTACTGAAATAACTTTAAGAATGTGTTTAACGAGAATATACACATAAAGTTAGATGCAAAATCTATAGGGAACTTTAGTAAAAGTAAGAATAAAAGATTCATGTACAACGATAGTTACAGACAGACAGATAGATAGACAGATAGGTACAGACCAAACCCATGTAACAGGGTACGTTTTGTGAATAAGGGTTTTTCTAATCTCTTTCTCGTCTTAAACACTACAGACTCCATTTTATTTATTTATTTATTTTTTTTTTTTTCAAAACGTTGCTAGATAATGAAAGGGATTATCTCTTACTCGTTCAACCGTCACGTCATTTCCGTCCACCCGAAATTAGCCACGATACGCAAATGAAGATCCCGGACCTTCAGCTGGTGAATTTTACGTCAAGGTGTCTACTAAGACTTGAAAAAGGTTGGGAATTTGTTAAGACTCTTGCAGAGATCAATGTTGTAGATCTTCTGCTCAAAGACTATTTTGCCATGTCGGAGCTATTGTTATGAAGCGTCCTTTGGCATTGTTCAGGTATTATAGCCCCGAGGTTAGGAGGTGGAAATATCTAAGCAAGGTCGTAACTTCACTGACGACTGAAAGCGTTGTGG